AATCATTTGCTTTATTAGACTCTGTAAGGTTAGTAACACCCAAAAATGTAGTCTTTTTGGTGTATTTTTATGGTGTTAATTGACTTTTTGAACAAAACAATTCCAGGGGGGGGCAAAAAACAGCCAGGGGGGGGGCAAAAATCCTGTGTACGCGCCTGATAAATTTTCAACACTTGGTCGACATCAAAGGGTCGCATGCGCCTTTTCCTTTAATTTTTATACCTCCCTAACTTGTATCTCTAGACACTTACTCCATGTACATTTCAGAACTGAAGATATTGTATTTAGTTTAGTATCTGAACAGAAGTAAATGTGAAAATTTTATAGATTTTTTGCATGTGAGATTGCAACCTTTGGTCACTTTGAATGTGAGCAGCAATCAAGAAGTCGTTTTTCAATCTTAAAACGTGCTGAATTCTGACATGGTTTAAGGGAGTGACCGGCATTGTATGGTAGTCAAACTGAGAATGTTGTATTGTGGAGAGATATTCTGGGACTCATTTGCATATAAAATGTTTTAATGATGTATGATTACTGAGTTTGAGTGCAAAGTAGACATTCAAAATCATCCACTTGGTTGGTTACGTTTTGAGAATCGATTTTTTAAACATTATTAAATGACGACGAAAAATGTAAAAAAATCTACAGTAAACTAATTAGATGTTTAGGAACCTATTTCTTTGTTGAAATTTTCTCAATAGATCAATGTTAGAATCAGTTATTTCTTTTTCATCATTATATTGAATTTCTTATCATTTATCAGTTTGTTCGCAGATTTCTTTCCAATTCTTCAAATGTCGTCTTTTCAATAAAAATTCCAGGAAATCTACAGAAAATGTTTGTGAACAATGAGACATTACAGAAACCGTGATAACTAAATAATTATACATATTTTCGATGATAATAGTTAATTTTCAAATTAGTTCTAAAAATGTCTCCACAGTGCTACGTTCTCAGTTCAACTACCATACATTGCCGGTCACTCCCTTTAATCATATCTGTATCATAGGTCCGGAAGTCACTTTTATATATTCTTGATCAGACTAAGGTTTGAAGGGTAACAACTTATAGAGCTCTACAACTGTGTAAACTGTGCAGTGTTAATCAATAATACTATCAAAAATATATTTATTTTCATCATTTTATATTTTTTACACAATGCTGAGGTTGGATTGAAAGGTTTTTATAATATTCCCTGAACTATTCTTCTCTTCATCAGATCAAACTCTGCAAACAGCCAACAATCAAGGCACGGTACAGTGGGACCCAGGAAAGAAAACATTTAAGAGAACATCTAAGGAATCTTATTTGTATTTTATGTTATTTTAATGTTAGCCTAAAAATCAACTTAATCAGTAAATTGGTCTGTGTACACTGCACAATTGCTTTATTCAAAACTATATCTAGGCATGATTTGAAAGAACTGCCTTCAAAACTATACTGATTATTGACACATCTTATATTTTTCTTATCTTTTCAAACTGATAGTGCAAACCTTTGATATTCTAAACTTTAACTATTTGATCTACTAGAATGTATAGTCTGATATATCATAGGTCTACGACATCAGGTTGTAAAGATATAAGGATTAAAAAATTAAAAATTGATGTTAAAAACCACTTCATTTCTGTATACAAAGTTCTTACAGAGAAAAAACAGTCTCTGATAAAAAGTCAATGAAATAAGAGTTTATGAAAAAAACTTTTTTTTGTTAAATAAAGAATGTTGGTTTCCCTAATACTATAGGAGGGTTCATTGTAGTACTTCCATTTTTAACCGAGGCAGCATTCACAAACATTATTCCATCCTGGACCTGCAAATAATTATGTTTATCTCCCGGCCTGGGTTATGACTGTATAATTTTATTATTATGATTTTAAAGATTAGTTTTATTAATGTACTAACTTGAGAACCCAGCTTTGTCTGGAAACTAAATTTTCCCTTTAAAGGCCAACTTACTCAAATTAGAATTGTATCACCAAGCAAAAGAATATTCCCGTGGTTCTGAGACGCTTGGTCCACAAACAGATAGATAGATAGATAGATAGATAGATACCTGTATCCCGTACCCTTCATGGATATGACCAAACACATGAAGTTTAGGTTTTATTTTAGAAACAGTTTTCCGTAAACTTTTACATCCTGAAACAATCTTATTTTGATCTTCTCCCCTTGAGTTCTCTAGAGATTAACCAAGGAATATAAATGTATATGTTTGAATAAGAATAAAAACAACTTTGTATTCTCTATAATTGATCTTCTCAAGCCAAGAGTCGAAATTATATGTACGTGTGTAATGTAAGTTAACTATAGCCGGTCAAACTGAAACACTGCAGGGCCAGAGGCGTTGATAGGAGGGTTATTGGGGGTAATTAATCAAGATATTCATGTATTATATATATACATATATATAAGATATGCACAATAACTGAAATAAATCCAGTTATTTTATAGAAAAAAATGTAGTTAATGTAATTAGTGCGACTATATCATCAAGAGTATATCCAGTATCCACTATAAATTGAGAATTTAGAAAAATCGCTCTTATAGTTATACTCACTCAATTCTGAACTTAAGCTGTTGAATAAAGATATCAATATCAATATCAATAAAGATATTCAGATAAGTTTCAAGAAGCTTACTTTTTAACACTTTGAACAGCCTCCATGGCAGAAAATTACCCTTTAGAAATGGCAAGCGATACCAGAAGCCTCTCTGTGAGATTGAATTTTGACTTAGGACAAATTTCATGAAACACAAGCTTTAAACAGTCTCTGGACAGTGGACATGCATAAAAATATTTTTTCCAGCAATGTAACTTTCAGGGGAAAATATGAATCATAATCCATAAAAAATTGGAGATGATCCAAAATCGGGAAAAAGTCTGTGCATATCATTCAGATATTACAAACATTAGTCATCGATTATTTTTCGACGCATTCGTAAATAGTTGATATTTCATAATATTTTGTATTTTTCATGATCTGAGAATTACTTTTGAAAACATTTATTCCTATTTCGAGGATTTTTAATAATGAAGACGACATTTTCATATTTTCCAGGAATGTTCGAAAATCCAACGCCAGCGAAATTTATTTTTTTTTTAAATCAAAAATATTATGAAATATTAACTATATACGAATGGGTCGAAAAATAATCGATGACTACTGTTTGTAATATCTGAATGATTTGTTTGGAATTAAATTGATTTGTGTACGATCCGAGTTGAATGTTGCATCTTTCCGAATTTGTATGGACGCTGCGTTCTTCGGTGTGAGTCGTATTTAACAATTTTCTCCTTATAGACGCAACAGCTAGAAGTAAGATTAGTAGCGATCAAAAGCGCTTTTTTATCGCCGTAAGCCTATACCCCCTTTCATTTTTCGCGAACACTCTCTTTAATAGAATAATTAAATGTATATCCCTCAGCCTAACCGTGTTGTTTCAAAAAAAGGTCGTTTCCATTTTGCGGACGATTTTTGAGATTCCGCGGGCTAAGCCAGGTACAATTCAGCTATAGTTAATGAAAAAATGAAATTTATTGCTTCTTTTCATCAATGTCCATGTCCTCTTGCCCCCTACCCCCTGTAAACACATGATTCAAGCCTATAAATAACAACAATTGAGTCAATTTACCTGATTTTTCACCCCTTGCATTCGAATCACGCACTCCAAAAGGTGGCATATGAGTTACAAGGATATCTATATTTGATGGAATAGTTTCCCATTTCTCCGGCAGAGTTTCCCGCGGAATTTGAAATGCTTTCCAGCCACTCCCGTACTTGGCAGTCCACGGTGTACCGTACAGCAAAAGGGAGTGATCACCATATTCTAGTTTATGCACTTTATTCTCCAGGTAGACTAAAAATAAAATTACTATGTTAATTGGCCTCTTGTTTCTCAATCTCATTAAAAGCTTTCTTGATCACCGTCACACATATGAATACTCAAAAAAACGTGCTTTTCCCTTGAAAAATTATTGTTCGCTGTATTTATCAATAATTAGTATAATAATATTATCGTTACTTAAACTGAAGTTACTGTATTTTACACCCCCTCTCTTGCTAAGAATAAAGACTCGGGGGGGGGGGGTCAGAACTGCTGCACCCCCTAAAACCACATATGTAAATACCAAATCCTTTCATTCTCCCAAACTACTGACCAAAGGATCCCGAGTTCTTGACATAATCTTGCATCTGATGAACCCAGAATCCACTCGTGGGATCTTTCTATAATAAACAACAAACATAATAATCAAATTAAAGTAATTATAAATGAAATCTCGTTTTCAATTATAACTCTGTTGAGAAGAATTTTTTTTTATTTCTAATCGGTAGCCAATTAATTTTGCTCATAATACTTGTTGCACAAAATAAAAGAGCTACGAGGTCACCAGTATCTCGTGACTTGGTTACAATTTAGTAACCCACATTAAATTCACAGATGTAAATTCCGTTTATCCAATGTGATATATATACAATATATAGTATGTAATGCAATATTATCTTGTAAAACTATACGGAAAATGAAAATATTTAGTTTTAAAATTATCATTAAAATCAACAAAATCTTTGAACTCCTAGATTTAAACTTTTTTATTAAAAAAACATATCAGGTATAGATTTGTATTCAGGGCCGTGACTGAAAGTTTTTTCAATATATTATTAATTTTTTTTTGATATTGTAACTGTGGCTTTTTCAAAAGATCATCTCTATTTTTAACTGACTGGTGCTAGTGCAAACGTCGGACGGTTCAAACATAAGACTTACAAACGTCGGACTTTTAAGGTAAACATCAGTTGAAACAAAATTTATAATGTTAAATAATCTGTTGTATATGGAACAGGTTGGGAAAATAAAATTAACTCTTATAATTAAAATTAAATAATCTTATTCAGTTTTCAGTTTCTGTAATGTTTGACTGTTCACAAATTTTTTAACTTTATCAATTTATTTATTTTTTAATTTTTTTTTATGAAACAAATTATTTGATACATGTATTTAATGCAGAATGCAGATAATCATTTTTCCAATCTTCTTGTTTCCTGGCTGTCCTGTAATGCTCGTTCAATTAGCTGCATACCCCCGCCACCCCAGGAGGGTTAATATGCAGTTTTGAGATGCTGATCAGGCAATTTGTAGTATTTTAATATCAGCTCTTGAGTTTCTGTATTTATTTCAGTTGTTTTTGATATCGGCCATCTATGCAGGTTTATTGCTGACATTGTTGTAATGAGAACTTCCCTTTGTCAGCTGCATTACATGTATCAGTGTCTTGCAGTAATTTAGAAAGAAATTAAAAGACCTCCTAGCCTTAACTNCAAGACTTTTTTTCTCAATCTGAGGTTTTGAGGGTCTGGCACTAGTAAAGTCTCCTTCGTAGACAGGCATACCTCCCCCTTCCTCCTCCCCCCATACCTGAGGTTTTGAAGGTCTGGCACTAGTAAAGTCTCCTGAATGGATGAGCAGATCTCCCCCTTCCCCCCATACCTGATGTTTTGAGGGTCTGGCACTGGTAAAGTCTCCTGCAGAGATAACCAGACCCCCCCCCCAAACCTGAGGTTTTGAGGGTCTGGCGCTAGTAAAGTCTTCTGCATGGATGAACAGACCCCCCCCCCCATACCTGAGGTTTTGAGGGTCTGGCGCTAGTAAAGTCTTCTGCATGGATGAACAGACCCCCCCATACCTGAGGTTTTGAGGGTCTGGCACTAGTAAAGTCTCCTGCATGGATGAGTAGATCTCCCTCGGGTAGTTCTCCAAGTCTATCATGTCGACTATGTGTGTCAGATATCAAAACTAAAATGCAATCTTCAACCAATTATATATTTTGTGAAATTGACATCTCTTGTTGGTATTGGTGGTACTCAAGGAAAGGTTTATGTTCTGAAAAAATAAAAAAATCCAAATTTCTTTTTTAATGTTTTTCTGCTATAAATCAGCACTGCAATATTAACTAAAAATCCGCAAAATGTTTTATTGTTATCAGTTTAAAATATACAAAATTCATCAGCTACAGTTAGCAGTTATATTATATATAGATATATCATACAGGTATATCATTTAGCCAACAGTCTTTCATGTGTGTCAATAAAACCCCAAGAAACATTTTACTTCAATATTAAAATCAAAGTAAATTTTTTTAAAGCTCCAATTAATTTGTCTGCATATTTAATAATGTGATAATTTCCTAGTATACAATTTTTGGACCCCCTCCACCCCTCCTATCAATTTTATACATGGATCTTATATGTAAGACATGGATATAATTGACCATGTGACCGCAGCGCAAGCCCCCTAGCCTTTCCTAGCCGCATTGCTCGACCCCCAAGCCTGTCCTTGTCACAGCGCTCGGCCCAGAAATCGTCATAACCTAGCCTAACCCTAAACTAATACAAAATAACATGAAAATAATGGTCATGTACAAAATTGAAAGGAAGGTGGGGGGCCGGGGGGGGGGGGGCCAAAAATCGTATTCTAGGACGGACCCTAATGATCTGCAACTCTAAAGTTTGAATAAGAACCTTAAGTCAAATTTTGCTACATAAGTTCACATCATAGAATTAATATATTTGGTTTTTCAGTGCAATAAGTAATAAAATTTTTATGAAGGATAAAACTTATTATTTTTTTAATCTTAGTATTAGCAAGTTTTGTTTTAGTTGAAACGAGTTGGATAGGTTTGAAATCCGTGAAACTGTTTTTCTTACCAAAATTATGTTTTCATGTATAAAATGATTATTTTAATCACTATACCTATTCTCACAGTATCCTTGGTGGTAGAATGTAATGTTCTGAAGGACAATTTGTTTAAACTCCGAAAAATCATTTTAATTCTGAGAATGATAAAATATTAAATTGTTTACACTTTCGTCTGCTTGAATGTTATGCAAGTTGCAGAAAGCTAACAAGATTTCATCGCGAAACCTCTCTAGAGAATTATTCTGACACTATATGAACTATATAATGACAGAAGAAAGACTGAACAGTGAACACTGAACACTAGCTCAGGAACCCATGCCATGCCTGGAGATCTTCGGAAACTTTTAAAACAAAGCTCAGAACATTTGCGAAAAGATAAAATCAAACATTTTAAAATTCAAACTTTTTAACTATCTTTAAATTATGTAAAAAATCTGTGAAAAATTGCTAGAATAATTGCGTCTTTGCCATTTTGATAATTCAAACTTCGTTGTTTGATGTATTAGAGTTTAAAACTTTTAATATCTAATGGGTTGCAAAATACAGGCATTAGAAAATTAAAATGTGTAGCAAAGACTCACCTTCTTTTTTAAAAGATTATTTGATACAGAACTGAGCTACAGAACCAAGGGCGTATACAGAAATAAATCTAGGAGCTCCTAGGGGGGGGCCACCCCCATGCCCCCCCCCTGTATACGCCCTTGTACAGAACCAAAATATTAAAAACAATTATGAGGAATTTGCCCTTAAAAGTCAATACTGCAGTTAACAAATGATTTTAACTAACAATTTTCAGTTTGAAATTTTTTAGGTTCCAAAGAAGTATATGCATAGTTAAAAAATCCGAGTTTTTGTCAAAAACTTAATTCCTTTAAGTTAGAAAGAAAGAATTGCAAGCCCGTAACCAGGGGCAAGAGAGCATAGCCCTCCTGCATAGACAATTTTCAGAAATTTTATATAAACGAGTAACTTTAGTTTAGCTTGAATTTCGTGTTATGTAGCTTATTTTCTAATTTGTCAACAACACTAGAAATTTAAGCTTGAACTGTTACAGTGAAAACTCGATTTTCCTTGAGTTTGCTGTTAAAAAATTTTCATAATTTGGTTTTTGTCTAAAATAAAATTGTACATTATTGGAAGACAGAAAATGTTGATAATTTTGATATTACTACTCACGTTCACTAATTTTGAATTGTCTGGACAAAATATTGAAACCGAGGCAATTCTTCTGCATTCTATCAACAACATACCAGTTCACTTCAGGGGCGGATACATGATTTAAGTGAGGGGGGTGCTAGATTTATTTCATTTATTTCGGATCAAAAACATCCAGATTTAGGAACAACATTTTTTTTAAGATAGATATTTTTCCAGATTTGCACTAGGTTTTCTTACCCTTAAGTGCTATTGAGGAACTATATTCTGAATTCACCCTTTAGGACCTTTACACCCCCCCCCCCTGAATCCGCCAAGGAGGTGCAAAGGTCCTACTGTCCCCCTTGCATCCGCCTCTGGTTCACTGTAAAAATCTTACCTCAGGACAAATTTAAAAAAAAGGTTTTATTTAGTTGGTCTGAGGGAACAGCTTTAGTAAAGGATTGTTCAGACACATAGTGTATAGGGGGGGGTGCACATGACCCCATGCAACCTCCCTGGTTATGGGCCTGAAGAATTGTTATCAAAAAATAAAAAAGACAAATACATACAAAATTAACATTTTTTATTCATAATTCCTGATTTTTTATCTTTTATAAAGTTTTGAATCTATTTTGTAATTTGTTTCCTAATTTTTTTAAGACATAATTAACATTGAATAAATTTCATTTTTTTAACCCTGAATTTGTGCAATCTTATACATATTGCAAATATCTAAATTGTCCAGTGTAAAAAATATTTTGTTTGCTTCTGAACATTGTTGTTATCTTTGCATTTTAAAATCACAATTTTAATATTGAGTTTTCAAATGATCTCTAAAATTTCAGATCTGCATTTTCATTTAACTTATTTATATTTAAATCTAAAGATAATGGTTTAAATGGTTGACTGATCGAAATTTTGGAAAAATATAACTTGTTGTATTTCATATTTCTTGTTTGCTAATGGCCTGGTGTGGTTTCTGGTGCATGATTAAAGATTATATCTCTTTTCAATCCATGGTAAATCTGAAAAATCTGGAAACTCACAGGGGTGTATATTTTCGTGAAAAATTATTCCCCCTCCCCTTTTAAGAAAAAAATTGTTCCCCTACAGATGGAATGCATGCTAGCACAAATTTTTTTTTAGGCATTTTATTTGCTGAACTGGAGAAAATAAGTGAATTTTTAGAAAATATGTATCAATAAAGTATGAAAAAACTTGTCTTTCGATGTTTAATTTTTGAAAAATATACACCCATGGAAACTCTTGAATATTGGGTGGTGAGACGGATTCGGGTAAAGGGCGTATTTGATGAACAGCGTTGTAATTTTAAGTAACCCTTCATTATGTCCGATTCACAACGGTACTCTTTAACCTTTGTCTGATTAATAACGTAACACCTGTCGTCGTTCTTTTAGTTTAAAAAGTAGATGATTCTGACAATTTCCTTCAATGTTTCTGAAGCGGAAAAGCACAATTGTAACATTTTCAATAAGTGAAAGGAGAACAAAGCTTTTAAGGTTACCTTTGTAAATTGGACATGTCACTCGATAGATTGAAAATCAATTGTAATGATGGGTGGGGAAATATAACATTAATAAAATTACCACTTCAAATAATGTTCAAAAATATTACCATGTTTTGACCAAATATATAACTACTTAAAATTAGAGCCGACCAAAAATATAGCTTATCAAATATATGATAATTTTTTTATCCAAAATTACAACCATTTTAAACAAACAAAAAAATTTATTTTAGCATATTTGGATAGAACCATCTTTTGTTATCAAAAACAAAACCAATTTTATCAAAAAAAATATCTTTTACGAAAAATATAACAATTCTTTGCTAAAAAAATCTAACTATTTTTGCAAACCGTTTTTTTTGCAAGAAATGTCATTACTCTTTGATCAAAAGTACAACCATTTTTTGGATAAATTATAATGCTTGGTCAAATTAAGTCTACAGTCTCTTTAAAGGGAGTGTTCGCGAAAAATGAAAGGGGGTATAGGCTTAATGCGATAAAAAAGCGCTTTTGATCGCTACTAATCTTACTTCTATCTGTTGCGTCTATAAGGAGAAAATTGTTAAAAACGACTCACACCGAAGAACGCAGCGCCCATACAAATTCGGAAAGATGCAACATTCAACTCGGATCGTAAACAAATCAATTTAATTCCAAACAAATAATTCAGATATTACAAACAGTAGTCATCGATTATTTTTCGACGAATTCATATATAGTTAATATTTCATAATATTTTTGATTTTGGTTTTTTTAATTAATTTTCGCTGGCGCTGGATTTTCGAACATTCCTGGAAAATATGAAAATGTCGTCTTCATTAGCGCGAAGCGCCCTCTAAGGCTAGAAAGAAGGGCGCGAAGCGCCTTGAATTTCTAGTTCTTTTAAAATAGACTAATCAAAGTTGTTCAACATGCGGTATTTTAGAATTGTCAGAACATTTTTTTTATTTGTTGTTTAGATTGTAAAAAATACTTTATTTTTCTACTTTTTTAAATATTCAATCAACAGATATAAGCGGATACAGCTATGCGCCCTCTCTGAAAAAGCAAGAAACAGAAAGATTCTTTGATTTTCAGCGTCCTAAGTTGGTAGGGATATTTAAATTAATTGTCAGATTCATTTCGTCACAACCGAGCTGTTCAAAATAAATTACTATTTTGGTATTTTTCAAGTCAATTTTTTTAAATTGGAGACATGCATCAAAAATGTTTTTTTTTGCCACAATCTTCATTTGATAAATTTTTGTTTCCCTTTTGCCAACCAGAAGCCAGATTTAAACAAAAATTTGAAAATCCCAAAATTGTTGTAATTAATTTCCCTAGCGCTATCACAAGCACTATTGACAAAGTAATATGTCACCCCCGGGGTAACCATGGGTTCCCTAAAAAACATGTCAGTCAATTTGGTCAAAAAGTAATAATGAACCAAATCAATTAAAAGCTTCTCTACGGACTCTGTGTTTACGTGTAAACTTTTAATTTTAAAAAAGCTTGTCAGACACAAAATTTAGCTAGAAAAGTAGTCTTCTTTGTATAGATATAAACGCCGACCACTGTAAATGTATAAGCGAAAAGCTATCAAATATAACACATTAACTAGTTTCAAATCTGACAAGCTTGACACCATTTTCTTTTTTATTACATTTTTATTTCCTCCAGTTGTTTTCAATATTACTTTTCAAACTTTTTAATTGAAAATGCTTCAACTCAGAATTTCTTCTAGAATTTTGACGGCTCAGGTCTTCCTCCCCCCCCCCCCCCCCCGGTACATTCTTGAAATCATCTCTTCAGCTTATAACTTAAATTTTACTCTCATAATTAGCAGTAACTCTGACATTATTACCTAGAATTTCCACCTAAAGTTTCTCGAGATAAATGGACAATTTAAAAAAAAAAATCTAATTCTAGAACATTACTTACATAGCTTGTGCATTTTCGGTAAAGAAAGCATTTTATGCACTACATTTCAATTATTTTCAACCAAACACATAAACCCAGACAAAACTGTTCTTTTATTGTTTAACAATGCGAAAACATTAATTCTTAATAAATCGTGCTTTCCTTAATTTAATGAAAAAAAACGTTATATCTTAAATGTTTTAAGAGCTCCAATAGTTACATGCACCACCCCACGAAGTCCAATCTTTAGATAAGAAAAAAATTGACAATGTTTCACACATAAAATGATTGTTTTATCTCGACATTTATTATTATTTATCTAGAAACTTAACAGACAATTATTAAAATAACAAATCAATAATTTTCTGCTCTACATCAAATAAAACAGACTGGCTGATCGGACGATTTCTTAAAACAATAAAAGTACAATTTCATCGCGATTCTTTTTTACGAAAGATTTCTGGATCTCAATCCGGTCCCATATTCTCCAAGAAAAGCGAGCAAAGCATACGATTACACAAGTTTTAAAGAATCGTGCCTATGGCAGCTAGCCGTGACGAGAGATAAAGGTTTGATAAGGTTGATCCGCTAATGAAACTTTCATTTGTAAAGGGAAGGAAACAAAATAACAGAACAGTTTCGAAACGTACAGAAACAAATATCTTCTTTAGATTAATTTCTTAGGCACATAAACATACCAGGATATTTCGATACATGGAGTTTTAAGGATTTTCCACATGCAATGCATATAAAATAATTTTAATCCTGAATGAACATGGATTTTTTGAGACCAAGTTTGAGATAAAATACGAATAGTTCGAAAAATGATCCTGTTAATGACGATGGTTTGAATTTGCTGATTTTGCAAAGTTTAATTTATCGACCATCAGGGATTTTACTCCCTTGAGCTATTATAAAAACTGGTTTAAACTGATGACAGGGTCAAATCAAACCCTAATCATGAATATATGTAATTATACAGGGGGCGGAATATGCTTGGGCAGTGAGTTTAATAATTCTCAAATGTATCAGGATAAAGTTACAAGATCTAATTTCTAAAATGCATTTAACATCTGACATGCTTGCATCATGCTTCTAGCCATTACGAGTGTGTAATAATACTCCCGAATACACTTCAGCAAAGGTCCGTATGTACTCGGTATCTAGTACCCAGTACACATATATATATACTACTGTACATATAGAAGTATTGTTGAGAAAGTAGTATTAAGGGCAGTGTTAATTTTCTTGTGTATCAGTGTACTCCAGACGGTTTATTTTTAAGTTTTTTTCTTGAACGTTCGAACCTAATTTCTATGGGAACTGTTGTTGGCAAATCCATGGTTTAGTTTGGTTAGGGACACATAAGAAGCTCCAGCATGATGTGACTCTACAGCCAGGAGCCAGGGAGAGAGGAAGAGATTAAGCTTGAGTAAGCTCAGAGTAGGTTCTGTATAAGCACCAAATAATTAAAATAATTCCTAATCATCAGCCAATAGATATTCTTCAAACTTAAAAATGTCAACACCGTGATCTGAGTCACGGACACAAGGTTATTTTTCTGGAAATTTCACTAAGAGATGCATCATTAGTATCCAGACTCTTGAAGCCCGGAGCTGGATCTGGGTCCAGGATCAATGCTTGAGAATCTGGAGGATAAAAAGTAGGGTATCTACTCCAAGTAAGAATACTGAAATACTCGCATCATGAGTTGGATGTTGGGTTGCGACGAGACCGAGAAAAATTGTCATCTCTCGTTCGGCTAAAATATCAAGAAAAAATTAATCAGATCGCAAAAAAATATTAAAAGTATGCACTTAATTATGAAATTCATAAAAAATAATAATTTTAATATTATTGTTAATACCTGGGAGGAAATGCATTGCTTGAAGCCCCCTCGGAACTGGATCCTTCAGTTCGGGCAATCTTTCCATTCATCCCGTCAACGTGACCATTCGATCCGTTGGAGGTTCGAACCTGCTTCTTCTTCCAGTGGTTTCCTATATCCTGAGACAGGTTGAGTGCAGCCTCCTCCTCGCTCTCTTCTCCGCTCTTGTGAGATCGTCTTTTCCGTTGACCAACAACAATCCGCCCGTCCTCGATGAACTCTTGATAACGTTTTCCTTTACAGGATCTTGAAGATTTTCTTCCATCTTCCTCCTCCTCCCTCTCATCCATCTTTGACACGGTTAGGTTGACGGCTCCGCAATCTGAACTAGGCCTTGTGCTCGTCATGAGTAGCTGAGCAGATTGACCTTGATGGTTGGATACAACAGGAATACTAGATATTACCATACTACTAGAAGTAGAGATATGAACCGCGCCAGGTGGTGGACCTACACGGGAGAAAGATAAAGGTTGAGAGACTAGTCCTTGAATTTGGGTCATCGTAGCCGGTTGACGGGTCATATGGGGCGTCTGCTGGACTATTGTTAAAGGTTGATGCGAAAGAGTCACAGACTGATGAGCCAGTGTTACTGGTTGGTTATGAGCCCGGTTGGTTATTTGATGACCTAATAATATTCCTCTAGTCGGTCCTGTTACAATCAGAGAGGACGAATGTTTCTCCGAGATTGAGGTTGAGGTGAGACTGACACTGGATGATGAGCTCTGCTCCTTGAAAGACGGCGGTAGAACGGATCCTTGAGATCTTGGAGCTCGCGTTATGGTGACCGAACTTTGGCCGAGATTGACCGGGGTGGTGAGGTTCTGGGAAACTAGGCGCATAAACTCTCTTGACTGGGAGGGTTCGAGCGCTGAGACTCTCACAGAATCAGAGACAGGAACTCTCAATACTTCTACTGAGGGAATCCGTCCGGCCTCCGAAGAGGCAAAACGGGGAGCTTCTGCAGATGGGGACCTCTGATGTTCCGTTGAAGGAACTCTTGGAGCTTCTTTTGGTTTTGTAACAGAGTCCTTCTTACTTCTGACATAGTTTGGATGGAGCAGGTTCGGAAGCAGACTGCGGGCCGGAGTATCTCCAGGTTTAGCTCCAGGTAGGTTCTTCTTTAGTAAATCCTTCTTTAAACTGTTATATATCGAGGCCTTGATCATATCCGAGTTGTCTGCTGAGCTATTGCTGGCGTTGTTGTTGTTTCCGGTGGTGGCGGTATCAGCCTCGTTGTTGCTCTCCTTGTTGTTCTCCTCCACGAGGGTGTCAATCACGTGATCCACTAGCTCAGTGTAGTAGATCCTACCCTCATCTTTATCCACCTTTCCCGTCTCCTTTAACATAAATTTATGAAAATAAAATATTTGAAAAAATCATTCTTCGATCCACTTAAAAAAACTGATTCCCTTCTTATGTTAATACTCATTTAGAAATAGAAAATTAGGAAAAAATATCAAATTTTTCTAAATGAAGAGTTTATAACAATCAAACTCAGAAACGACCACTATTTTCCTTTCTCTTAAATAAATTAGGAACTCATTTCATAAAGATAATAAAATACCCAATGGAATGTTTCAACGACACCCTGTATACATGTAAGGTTCAAACAATGTAATGGAATTTAGAAAATAAGGAAAATAAAATGCATTCGATTTTTCTAATCCACTTTCACCCAGCCTAGTGTGTATATACGCGTAGAGAGGTTTGCAGAGTTCATTGACATTTAATCCTTGATTCTTTACCTAGCCCTGACTATTCTTCTATCCTTGCTTCTACACCTACTTCTAACTACTCTTCTATCCTTGCTTATACACCTAGCCCTGACTACTCTTCTATCCTTGCTTGTACACCTAGTTCTAACTACTCTTCTATCCTTGCTTGTACACCTAGCCCTGACTACTATTCTATCCTTGCTTGTACACCTAGTTCTAACTACTCTTCAATCCTTGCTTCTACACCTAGCCCTGACTACTCTTCTATCCTTGCTTGTACACCTAGTTTAACTACTCTTCTATCCTTGCTTCTACACCTAGTCCTGACTACTCTTCTATCCTTGATTCTTTACCTAGTCCTGACTACTCTTCTATCCTTGCTTCTACACCTTGCCCTGACTACTCTTCTATCCTTAATTCTACACCTAGCCCTGGCTACTCTTTTCTCCTTGATTCTACGCCTAGTCTTGACTACTCTTCTATCCTTGATTCTACACCTAGTCCTGACTTCTCTTTTTTCCTTAATTCTACACCTAGCCCTGGTTTCTCTTCTATCCTTAATTCTACGCCTAGTCCTGACTACTCTTCTATCCTTAATTCTACACCTAGTCCTGGCTACTCTTCTATCCTTGATTCTACACCTAGTCCTGACTACTCTTCTATCCTTGATTCTACACCTAGTTAAGGATTGAGGAGTAGTCAGGACAAAGGTATAGAATCAAGGATAATATAGAAGTCATGACTAGGTATAGAATCAAGGATAGAAGAGAAGTCAGGACTAGGTTTAGAATCAAGGATAGAAGAGTAGTCAGGACTAGGTATAGAATCAAGGATAGAAGAGTAGTCAGGGCTAGGTGTAGAATCAAGGATAGAGGAGTAGTCAGGACAGGATTATAAACTTAGTCCTGACTACTCTCCTATTCTTAATTCAATACCTAGCCGTGACTTCTCTCCTATCCTTGATTCTACACCTAGTCATCACTACTCTTCTATCCTTGACTCTCCAACTCCTAGTCCTGACAACTTTTCTATCCTTAATTATATACTTAGTCCTGACCACTCTCCTATTCTTAATTAACAAAGTTTTCATAATAAAAATGGGAAAGAGAACCTTTACTTCCATTTATGCTATAGTGATGTTCTTTAAGTGAAAAAAATGAAATAATGTACTTACATGTTTTTCTTTAAGACAAGTTTTATAAATATTACTCCAAATTTTTCTCATAACTCCCCGCTTTTCTTCACTGTAAGATGCAATATATTGTTCCCATTCTTTTTCTTGGTCTGCAGTTAACCCGCCGTGCCGGGCAGAGAGTTCCATCAAGGCCTCACATGCCTTCTCCGTATCCACGCCTCCCGGCGATATCGGTGGAGTGGGCGTGGCACTCGGAGTAGGCGTGGCAGAGTTTGAGTTTGATGATGCTGAGTTTTGAGCGTTTTGCTCGGCAAGATACCGTTTTTTAAACGGTTTAGGTACCGGAGAGGGTTGAGAGCTCGGCTCCGGGGTTTGATGCTCTGGACTAGTTCGGGAGGAGCCGGGTTTAGAACCCTGATCCTTACCATTGGAGTAGGAAACCATATCCTTGGGAGGGGACTGGTATAGAGGTTCAAGATTTTTGGCTGTACCGGGAGGCATCTTGGGCCCCCGATCCTTACAATCAGGTTTCATTCAACCAAACCTAAACCTGGAGTTTAGTAAATAACTCCTAGATTAACCCTGTGTATGCGGCTGGTTTAGTTCTTTGTTTTCACAAGGTTTTTTATCACTGGTAAGCGGGAGACCACACTCCTGTTTACCTTTTAGAAATACACGTTTCAGTTTTAATTTTTTCCTGGATGAGTTGAGATACTCAACCTTGGTGGTGATCTGTCTCCCGAAGACGGGGTCCACCTCCTCCCTGTTCTCCGACTGGGAAAAGAAGAGCGAGGTTCCCACCGTATCCTGGAATTCTCCAATAAAAACTTGGTTTCCAACCTGTACCAGAGGTTGGTCAGAGTCTAGTTGGATGAATCGGACTGGAGTAGAGGAGCTAAGCCGGAGATCCTCCTGGAGAAGGCCTGAAACCTCAACGTGGAGTAAGGTCTCTTCCTCGGTCTAAAATATTAAACATAAACTGTGTGAAAATAAGATTTTCCAGGGCTGTATATTTTTAAGAATTTTGAAGGTGTTGAAAAAAAAATATAAAAAATTAGACATCAAGAAGGGGGGGGGGGCTGATTTTTCAAGAAATAATACATCCCCTTGGATTTTCCTCGTTTACCAAGGCTAGAAAAAAGCTGTAATAAACAATAAGGTAATTATTTGAAAACAATATAGATTTTCTATTTCCTTTAACCTCTTAATGGCTAAAATTATGATAATAAATTTCCCTTTAACAATAAAAATATTACAAACTTAGAACTTGAAACTTTACTCGGTATAGTAATTATCTTTAGTTTTTTTCGATTATATTTTTCCATTTCAATTGATTTTCATTATCAACAATATCTACATTTATATCTAGTTAAACGGTCTCAAAAGGTGTAGTAATAAACTAATCTTTATCAAATTTTTCATTCCCATGAACCTCGTTTAAGACCTTAATTATGTTTAATTACTTTAATTTATTGAAAAAACAATTATGAGGATAAATTACAATCTTTACGTGAAACTTCATCCTAAAGGTGCAGAAACAAATGTTAGTAATTTATCTTTACACAATATATTATATTTCTAAAATTTCCATTCCCTTACACCGCTATGTAATAACTCTAATTAGAATGTGAATGAGTATAATAAAACGTTTAATGTTAATTGATGTTACAACTAAGGAGGGTAAAAGTAAAGGGAGTGATAATGAATTTAAAAAAAGGGTATATATGAACTGATATTACTTTGTTTAAAACAGACATGATGCTTCGATACAATATTTTTGTTTTCGATTCAATGAAACTTTAATTATCGACTAAGTATCGATCGCTCGTTAGCCTAATTATCAATGGCCCTATACCCCTTTTCAAGTTTGATAACATTCGCTTTGAATTAATAATAAAAAGTAATCACCTCGTAATCAGAATCGGAGTCCATAACTGTGAATGATTTCCATATTTGATAAACAATGAGTTACATCTGCTCATTTCTATGATTTCCTAGTTGATATTCATCACTGTATAGTTCATTTCGAAACCTAAATATAACAAACATAAACCAATTAAAAAAACAAAAAATATTTCCATAAGTTATTTAATTTGTTAAAAAATTCAAGTTGGCGGTTTAAACCTGAACTTCAAACAATATATAAAACGAAACTTTAATTACTGTTTAGTCAGAGGTAATTTTTTTTAATACTAATTAATAAGACTTTGCTAATACTACAATGGTCAGCATATATATGAATACAGTGTCGGATACTGAAATGGTGATTTAATTCAATTTCAGTATCTTATATTTCATTATTAAAAAGTAAAGTAAAAGTAAAAAATTATTTATTTATGAAATATAACAAAACATACAAAATAAAGTGTTTCAGGAGAAAATATTTAAAAACCTCTAAAAGTAGAGGTTGTGAGAATATTTCCCCCCAATTCTAAAAAAATATAAAAATATAAATAAAAGGAAAATGAAAGGATAAGGAAAGTTACATATTTATTGTTTACACTATATTTAACACAAATTAGTGGTGGATTGTTTGTATTTTTCGACGATGAACTAACAACTTTTAGAAATAAAAATTATAGATTTATTTGTAATGTTAAAAAGAAGTAAAAAAAACTTTATGGAGTGTGAAAGAGATATAGGTTCTAGGTTGACATCCTTTATGTTTGATTTTATCTTTTTTAAAATCTTTTTATTCTTTTCTTTGTAAAGTCGTCTTTGGTTTCTTCGATTCTTTTGCAAACATAGCATGTGTTAGAATTAAAACATTTGTTCTGCTGATAAAAATCTTTTATTAAATTCTGTTTAAAATTCAAAATAAGATTGATATTTAAAAGCTTAGAAAAGTGGAGTTTATTATGTGCACCGACCACTCATAATTATGTAGAAATTTAGTACCGGATGATACAGTATTGAAATATATGTCAGGTACTATAACACCATTTCAAATGAATAAAACCAGCTTCGATCTCATCATTTTTGGTGTTAAATCAAAAATGTTTCTTTCTATTCAGTTTTGTCTTCTAAAAACCCTAAAGGAATGAATTATCCCCCCCCCCTCCGGTCCAAATATCTGAGTGTTCTGCTTGGATTAGATTAAGGTTTGCTACTGAGTCCCCAAATATCTGTGGAACCCTCTATGAAAACAATAAACATTGATTTCATTCCTCAACGACCCCAGACAGAATTCACATGGATAAAAACCCAACTAATCTTGTAACAGTAAAAAGGGGTCTATAATCCATATGTGATAGTTAATCCATAACGTTTTTCCATGGATTAGTAAAGAATATTAATTAAATGTCGATTCAAATTTTGGGTGGAATCGGGGATGCAAAAAAAGTGTTCAGAACTGTAATAAAAAAACGTGTTGAGATTTGCTTGAAAAATAAAATCTTGCCTCCAAAGAAACTAACATTAAAAAAATATAAATTTTAGACCTTTTTTTAAATCTGGAAATGGAATTTTCATAATCTTACTTTGTGATCTCTTCTTGTTTGCTGGTCTGGTAGTGATGGTACATCATCTTAATTCCTGAACAAAAAAGGATTAGTTTATGATCTGACCTTTTATTTGAACGCGCGCGCGCTCAACCGATGACACGAAGGATAAACGCGCGCACCCAATATGGCAATACGTGAAGATATAACAATGCAAATAAAATATAATCTTTATAAAAATTTTCAGTTTTTTTTTACATCCTTGATGTTTAAGATGATGTTTGAAGGGAATCCCTTTCACCACCATTATCCGGGTTCGTATTTTTTTTGCAAGTAATCCATGAATCAGAAAAGGCCGGGGCAAGGAAAGGGTTACAAGAATGATAGATGGATAGATGTCTAGGTTGGCTTGGCTGGGATAGATAGATAGAAAAGTATAAGGAAAGGTAGATAAAAGCTAGCAGCAGCTTCATGTACCGGCCCAAGTCAGCTGCTACGACCATGGCCAAACCAATAAAAGCTGCCCCTGAAAAAGGAGAGTGGCGGGAGGGGCCCCAGGGTGCAGGAGATGACAAAATCTCAATTACAAAATTATTTAACAGTTTACAACCTGCGATTAACAAATTAATCGCATTTTATAAATTTGGGGGTCTGAGTCACGTTCTACGGGTTTAATTTCCAAAAAATAAAATGCTAAAATAATCTTCCAATAGAAAAAATATCTGAAAAAACTCAAATAGTGAAACTTAACGCATACAGCAAAAAAAGGCCTAGGTAGGGAGGGTGGGTAGCGATCTGACTTTCTTGACAAGAAAATAAAAGAAAGATTGAGAACATGATATATATTCAAATTAAACAAAGAAAAAGGAAAGAGATGGAGTAGTATATAGACTTGAACTAGACTCACAAAAACTATCAATATAGGAAACAATAGATAAAAAACTGTCTACATAAATTATACTTATTAAGGCGATGCATAAAGGGACTATACCTGGTTAAATCAATGATAAATTACGAATCAAAAAAAAGACAGAAATATCAACGGTCCAGCTGTTAATGTGGTTTCCAATAAACCATTATTTGTTTCGTTGCTAAATACACGTTAGTCCCTACCAAAATGGAAAATTAAGTTATTTGAAATTGCGCCTACAATCCCTTTAAGAGAGAAAAGATTAAATCTAAAATATTCTGGAATTAAGAAAATGGAATAATATAAATTATAGAATAATTTTAAACATTTTACTGAATTGCAAAAGTTGTTGTCTCTATTTTTACACAATTCCGCAAATTATTGCAAAAATTATGATGAATGTGTGCAAAACACAGAAGGCATAATTGCATTTTATGACATTGATGTAGAAGGGGTGAATGCATAAATAATGCATCGTATGTCCACATGATAAATATTTATTGTCTGGTTTATATGAGTGTATTAACCTATACAAGTAGATCCTGGTTCTCAAAAATCTAGACGTCTAGATTTTTTTCTATATACAGATAGTCATCGGCAAAACACGGTGCACAGACAATTACTGCTAATCAAACATGACAGGGAGGGCCTATGTGTACCAGGTAGCAGGGGGGGGGGGGGGGGGGGGGGAGGATCAATATTGGCTAGACACGCGTTACTCAACAAGTCTGTTTACTGACTTTAATCGATAAGCAAGCTTGGAATATGCTTGTGTAATTCTACCAAAACTGATAATCATCAAAACGTGCAAAAAATTAATCATAAAATGCAATATTAGTAAACCACAAACCATTCTTTGAACAATACTTTAACATGTAGAAGTGTGAAATGAAAATTGTACTCGTCAATATTCAAGAAAATTTATTATTAAAAAAAATTATTGATCATATGATTGTGATTATTTTCCAGTTGGGCATTCTTGAAACCATTACTGAAGTAAGTACAATGTTCTCTAGACGTCTGATATGTTGTGTGCTGTGGTATTTAATGATTGGATATAGAACAAGGCCTCAGTGTGTCAACATAAAGGAAATATTGGTCCATAACATTTATATATATAAATATATATATTTTACTGATTGCCCTCTTTTTAAAGAACACATGCCTTTTCAGACAGTCGCTTCTTTCCATAAGAGACTATTTCAGGACACTTGGTCCACAAATCATTTAACCTAGACATTTATCCTACAAAGATATTTAATCAACATTGTCTCTTTTACTCGAAGTAATGCTCTCGGCTCTAGGAGAGGGAAAAACCTTTTTTTAAAATAACAAAATAATAAAAACATTTTTCCCCTTATTTTCTTCATCGTGATATATTTTACTCACAATGAAGCGCAATATTTCAGAGGTCATACATAACAGACCATTAAAGAGATAAATGTTTGTACTTCTTAACGTTTTCCACACGTTTTAAGATTTTGATTAAACTTGCTCTTAAAATAGTCCTAAAAAGCGATGCATTGTTATCAAGATATACTTGTCTAATATCTCTCCTAACACTGAATATAAACTAGTTTGCTAGATTGCAAATTTATTGCCTGCTCATCTGTACAACAACTTTTAAAGTTTATCTAGGATTAATTGGTCAGAATAAATAATATGACCCTTTTTTGGAACTTTAAATCCGATAATTTTTGTTTGATTTACCCTTTAATATGGTTTATTTTTTACATTCAAAACATACTGAGGAGAGATTTATTTTATATACCTCGGACAAGGTTTTGTACTATTAAAACTATAGAAGATACATTATACATGTAGCGTATGTCATTTACGGTGTATATTCTAAATACACATGTAGAATCAGATTTATTGTTAAATTATCTGTCCTCGAATCATTACAGGTTTATTACGTAATTAACCTAATTAAGTCTTCTTGTTTCCGACGTAATAATTAACTACATACGGCTACAGGGTGTATCAAAATTCAAAACATATACTAATTAACATATGTCAACATTTGTCACATTATAATGAATAAGTTGAAGGAGCTATACGAAAATTAAATGTAAAATTATAATTTTAAATTGAAAATATTTCTCACCCGAAAAAATAGTCAACCAAAGGTTAAGAATTCCTGCCAAAAATTCCAGAAAACCCTCAAAAACGGAATTTAAAAGTGTAATGTCTTTATTTGAACAACCATGTAAGATAATTTATGAAAACTGCAAAAATTAGAAAATATTTTAACATTAAAGGCGGAGGGGCGGATTACGTCGCAGACTTTTCATCAATCCAATATGGCTTAATATTTAAAATTGAAATATCAATTTAATTTTAAAGATTTTAATGATGAACAAACATAACTTTTCCCCCCAAATGTTTGCAAGGGTACAACAGAAAATTAAGAAGCAAAGCATTGCATCTATATAATTTGGGTGACTGATTATAAATTGAGAAATAATATTCCACACAAATAATTTGTTACAAGAAAATTTTGCAAAGTAATCCTCGTAGCAACAATTATGGTTTACTTGCAAATAATAAATTCTCAGGTTTCCAGGCATTTCGTCATAAAATCGTGTAAGAAAGATTTATGATTTGTTAACAATGAAAAAAGAAGACAAAAATGTATTTATCGATAACATTTTTGAAACATGCCATATAAAGCGATATGAGGGGAACAGGGTTTGATTACATATTTATTTGTAACATTTTAGGAGTCTTAGAAACTAATTTTATTAAACAAAACAATATTCAGCCCCCCTTAAAAATCCAAACAAGGCTAAGCCCCCCCCCCCCGATAAATTTCTTTTTGCGCTCTTACGGAAATGTACATGTCTGGGGCTCCAAAAAAGTATATGAGAGTTAGTAGTGTAAAAAAATGGCCAAGGGTTTGCAACACTTAAAGTCAACTTAGCCTCATATTCATACCACTACCAGTTGGTAGGGGTCTAACAAAAGGAGAAAATTTGATTTTTGAACCAAAAACGTACGATTTAAATTTTGGTAGACATAAATTGAAACCCTTTTGAGTAAAATTCAACAATTGGAAAAATATATATATATATATGTTGTGTATTGGCATTGTCTCTTATAGTGCGCCAGCGCCATGGGATTTGTTTACCAAATGCACTTTCTACAATGCCATTTCGTGTGCAATACCTATGCAAGCAAGGACTAAGGCAAAGGTGGTGGTTAACCAGGCCCGGGTAAAGCTATCACATGGTTAAGATATATAATATTGGATAATTTAAAATTAAAAATTCGCCCAAAATTAACATTTAACGTCGCAAAACTCAAAGTAAACCTATGGACAAATAGTTTAAATAAAAGAAATTCTACATAAAATCATTAAGGAACTGTAAGTGTAATTTCAAGTGACCATCCATGCAAAGATTGCAATGCTCGATTCACAATGGTACCCTTTAAACTTCATCTAAACAAAACTCTGTGGAAGATATTGTCGTTTTTCTATGGGTCTGAATTCTGAAAGTATTTAATTCTGATAAATCCTTTGTTTTCCTGCAGCTTACAGATGCGCAAGTCACTTTTATAAAGAAATCACAAAAAAATAATCCATTTTTAAAATCTATAGACATTAATATCTTATTAATACTTGAACATACATAGCTTTCAAGGTACCATTGTGAATCGGACATAGCCATCTTTAAATAGAGCTGGTCATTTAACAATTGTCCCTTTTAGAACATGAAAAAAAATAATGTAAAAAACTGGAGGGAAAAGATTGAGTCCGCGCCTAAAACTTTATGGTATAAGTTTTAAATAATTTCTGGACTAAAATAGGACTATTCTTATAAGATTAAACATTCAAGAGTAAAATTAGAGGCTTAATTTAATACTTACTGGAGCTTTATGAATTGCAGGAAAACGTTAAGTTTAAGCGGAAGTTGTTTATTTGTTTTATTTAAGATCTTTTTCACAAGGTTGGCTTACACACTCTTTCGGCTGAATACTAACACCAAACTGGGTCATAGATACATAGACTATAGAGCAGTTTCAGCACAGCTGGGCATACGAGCAAGGAAGCTAACAGCTGTAGCTAGCTCGCTGGGACACTATGTTAGAAGCTGTAGTCAGCTGTTGCTAGTGCCCCAGAAGGGAAAGTCTGGACAGCTGTAGCCAGCCGACCGTGGGACGATGAAGAATTATGAGTGTGCAAAACTCGTTTTTTGCATTTTCATACGCGCTCTACGATGTTGAGACGTCTGCAATGGCTGAACAGTGGAATATTACGAAGCATATTTCCGCACTCAGCTCTTATAACTATAATAGACCCAACGTTATCTTTAATAATTCCATTCAATTTAGATGCGAGCAACGAGAAAAGTACGATCTAAAAGCTAAAGCAGCTTGTACAACTGAAGCAATTATGGAATTGAGGTCATATAATTTACTCGCTTTCTTTGCACAAAGTTTATAGATTTTGTAGTCAATAAAATACACATCCTGTCGTTAAAAATGCATTCAACCTTCCCCCCCC